TGAATGGTTGTTAGCTGCCTTGTGGGTGCTGGGAACCAAACCCAGGTCCTCTGTAAGAGCAGCCAGTGCTCTTAACTGCTGAGCCATCTCTTCAGCTGCAATAGAGAAAAACTGATTCAAATGTGTGTGTGTGTGTGTGTGTGTGTGTGTGTGTGTATGTGTATCTTTTGATCAAGTAATTTTCAGTCCCTAGAAGTTTATCTTAAAGAAATAATCAGATATACAATTTATGCCAGTAAATGCTTTTTTGTTTAAAAAAGCACTGAAAAGTGGCATTACGTGAAATGCGTCAGGATGAAGAGCAGCTGCGTCTCACGACTGTGCATCAGACAACGGGAAAACATTCACTGCAATGGTGTTTACAAGAGTATGAATACTAAGTCATACTACCCAGTGATAAACCAGGTTACAAAGCAAAAATGTACAGTACAGCTCAATTGTATAATGTAAATATAGAAACGAGGTAATTGGAAAAAAATATAGTGGTTACTGATCATTTCAACTTTTTATATATGCATTTTTTTCTTCCAAAAGTTTTCAAAATAAGCAACTACTAGTTTCCTGGACAGAGATTTCATATTATTCCCCAAATAGGAAGAAAGCTCCATAAAAGAATTGACGTAGTTTCTCTTCTTGTTGCTGTGATAAAGTACCCGACAGGAGCAGCTCAAGGGAAAGGTTTGTCCTGGATCTCAGGTCAAGGGTGCAGTACAGCAGGGCATCGCAGGCTTGAGGCAGCATCACACTCAATCCACAAGGAGGAGCAGAGAGAGATGCGTGCAGGTGCTCAGCTCACTTTCTGTACTTTATCCAGCCCAGGGGAATTTAAAGTGGGTCTTTCCATATCAATTAATGTAATCAAGATAATCCCTCACAGACATCCTCAGAGGCTAACTTAATCTACATAATCCCTGATGGCTATGCTTAGAGGCTTGTCTCCTAGGTGATTCTAGATTCTGTGAGGTTGACACTAAGCAACACAGACACTGACTTTCTCACAGTCCCAGAAAGTGATCCAACAACCCCACTCACAGGTCCATAGGAAACAAAATCAGTATGCTGAAATGTGCACTTCCATGTTCGCAGAGGCAGTATTTACAACAGTCAGGCTATGGAAACAGCCTTAGTGTCTATCAATGGCCGAACAGAGTGTGTACTGGATATACACAATGGAACATTATTCAGCCCTAAAAAGGAATGAAGTGCTAATGCATTATAGAACGTTTGAGAGCACCATGCTATGTAAAATAAGCGACACACAACATGATGGACATTACATTATCCCACTTATATGATGTCTCTAGGACAGTCACAGTCACAATGACAAAGTGGAATGGTGGTTTTAGGACTGGGGGAGGGGACAATGGGGATGTTTCTGTTTGGGAAGTTCTGGAGATGGAGGGTGGCGATGACTTATAATGTAAACACACCAGGTCCTGACAAGCTGCAACTTATCTAGAAATGGTTTAATGGGAAATTATTATTAGGGGTTTTATTTATTTATTATTAATTTTTTGGTCTTTTTGAGACAGGGTCTCCCTGTAGCCCCAGCTGTCCTGGAACTCACTATGTGGACCAGGCTGGCCTTGAACTCACAGAGATCTGCCTACCTCTGCTTCCTGAGGGCTGGGATTAAAGGCGTGCACCACCACGCCCGGCCTTATTTATTATTTTTATCTTATGTGTATGTGTATATTGCCTGCATGTAGGTAAGTGTGCCCATGTCATGCAATGACCTTGGAGGACAGAAGAGACTGTTGGATCCCCTGGAACTGGAGTTAAGAACAGTTGTTAGCTGTCATGTGGGTGCTGGGATTCGAACCCGGGTCTTCTGCAAGAACAGTCAGTGTTCTTAACCCCTGAGCCATCTCTCCAGCCCCCAGTTTAATGGGAAACGATAAACTACATGTAGTTTGTCACAGCAAAACTGTTCAAGAGTAGATGGGCATGGTGCTGCACGCCTGTCATCCTAGTACTTGGAAGGTAGAGGCAGGAGGATCAGGTGTGCACATTCAGGTTATATAACCAGTTTGAGGCCAGCCCGTGATACACAAGACCCAATCTTAACAAACAAGCAAACAAAAGTTCAAGGTTGCTTAAGCAAAAATAACACAGGTGTGTGGCTGTGCAGGCCCAACCATGGTTCCTCAGGTACTGTATAGTCAGGTAGCCCAGGATTAGCTCCTCAGTGAGCAAAGTCTGCAGGCTCTGCTTTGAACCCCATCCCTCTGGGCTGTTGCAATTGGTTACACTTCCTTCACACAGTCCCTGCTGTCTGCCCCTTCCATCGCCTCCGGCTTGATTTATGATTCTCCTCCTCCCTTAGAGTTTGCATGTGTGCCCAAAAGACTCTGAGAATTTTCCATCCATGGGGACACACGGCCCCCGGGGACTTGGGTGGTATCTTGTAGGCGATGACCTGTTGTGGCAGAATATGTCTTTCCCTGGCCTGGGAGCTGTCCTATGGCCTGAACCAGTGCTCACTCCCCCAGCCCTCTGTCTGGAGCTAGCTGGCCTCTAGCCACTCCCCCCCCATTCCATGCTTCCTGCCTACGCTGCACTCATTTTCTTGATGTATTCCTTTCCCACCACCTCAGCTCTCTGCCCCGCTTATAGCTCCAGCTGCCTCCTTGCCCTTGACAGCCAGATCTACAGCGACAGGCTGTTCCCTCAAATATCTGTCATTCACTGCAGCCCAGCTCCTCTGAGATCTACACTTGTGCATAGAGCACCTTCCCCTAGTAGCTTAGTAGGCAGCTTTTCCAAACCACCTGCTGGTCCCAGGGCCGGGGCACCCTTCCCTGTCCTGTTTGACCCAGTCATGGCTCATATCTCTGCTCACTACACAGTGGAGGTGTCCTGTTCATACTGGAACCTCAGGGCCTGCTGTGCAGAGCCGTCCTCAGCAGTGCAGGCTGCCACGTCTGCACAGCTGGAGCCGTCTGTCTGCTGCTGCCTTCTGAAGTCCCTTCCAATCGCTGGGACGCCTGCCTGCAATTATTCTCTGGTGCTATCCTCACTCTGCTCTGGCCTGCCTTCTGACTGCTATCTGGTCGGTTGTTTGGGTTACGCAGCTTTCTGCTACTAGAATACAAGAGGTAAACAACCTAGAAAGGGTTTCTTTTGGCTCACGGTTGTGGGGGCAGCACATATCAGTGGAGCACCAGACAGAGCAAAGTGATTCATCTTGTGACTAGGACCCAAAAGAGAAGAGACCAGAGGGGAGATGAGATGGCAAGGTCACTCACTGTGCAAACTTGGTGACCTGAGTTTGAGTCCCAGAATCCATGCAAAAGGTGAAAGGAGAGAACAGCAAGGTTGTTTTCTGACCTCCACATGTGCACTGTGGCATGTCCCCTGACATACCCCGCCCCCCAGAGTTAAAAAAATAGAGGAGACCAGAGTTCCATGACCCCCAGTGACCTAGAACCTCCTTACCAGGCCCCACCTCTTAAGGCTTCCCAACCTCCACTAGCATCACACTGACGACCAAGCCTTTAACACGGGGCCTTGGGGGGCACTCCAGATCCAAATGATAGTGTGGCTGTGTGGGCACACAGGGCATAGATGCTCAAAGTCGCAGGTCCATGTAACCCAATCTGCACAGCACACGCTCCTTCCTTGCTGCATGCGCACGCGTGTCAAATTCTGTGTACATTTCCTGACTCCCAGCATGACTCGTGCCCTGCAGCCCCAAGGGAAAGAGCAAGCATGCTTGCAAAGGGGTGAGCTGGTTCCGTTCAGCCACACTCTAGCAGGGGGCCTCAGGAGCTGCTCATGTCCATGGATTGGTCCTCTTTTGCATCCCAAACGTGATGATGGCTAACTTTCACTGTCAACTGGACTTGGAATCACCCCAGACATAGGGCTCTGCATGGTTGTGCGGGCATTTCCAGAGAGGTTTAACTGAGGAGAGAAGAGCAGCCCTGAATGTGGGGTGCAGCATCCCATGTGCCATCCCATAGCCTGGGATACTGCATGGAATCAAAAGGAGAAAGTGAGCCAAGCACTAGCATGATCTCTGGCTCCTGACTGTGGAGGCGATGAGATGAGCTGTGCTCCGACTCCTGCAGCCACAGCTGGAGCACACTCATGCCATGTCTCCCCACCATGATGGACTGTACCCGCAAACCATGAGTCCAAACAAACCCTTTCTCCCTCAGTTTGCTTCTGTGAGCTATGTTGTCACAGCAATGAGAAAAGGAGCTGACACACCAGATGTTTGAGCAAAACCCTGGATTTGGGCCTCAAAGACAGCTGGCACAGCGGATTCCATTCCCTGGTGTCATTGTGACAGGGATCCTAACCCACAGTCACAAGCCAGCTGCATTTCAGAGCCACACACTGCCAGGCCTCCAGCTCATCTCTGCATGTATCTGTATGCTTGGCCCAGGAAAACCATGGCTTCGTCTCCCCACAGCATTTCCAGTGGAAAGGGACCCAAAAAACCCAATGGGAGGGGGTGGGCACCTCACTCTCCCCAGGGAGTATCTGACACACACAAGCTCAGCTCTGCTTTACCCTGAACAGTGTACCTGTCAAAACATGTGATGTTGTCAACCTGTCACTGCACTGGGAAGAAGCTGTGACTGATCTCAGGGTTCAACTCTTTCCCCCTTATGGGCTTGACAGCAGTTAAATACAGCTGGGGGGGGCAGCAGTCTATTTTTGGTGCCTTCTTATGGAATTCCCACATTGTATTTCACATCATTTGAGTCCTTGGGTAAGCTCAGATCTCTGGAGCAAGCAAGCACTCACTGTTTATACTCCTCTGTGTGTGGGGGGGGCAGAGGGCGGGGGGGGGGCGGCTGAGCCACCCCGGGCCGCTGTGGGGCAGGGGGGAGCATGTGGGCGTGCTTACCTTCACCCTGTCCATGCAGGCTTCCATCTTCAGCTGCTCCACAGCCTTCCTGGCCTGGGAGATGGGAGGGGGGGGGGGGGTGCGGGGCGGCCCCCCCTGGGCCGCTGTGGGGCAGGGGGGAGCATGTGGGCGTGCTTACCTTCACCCTGTCCATGCAGGCTTCCATCTTCAGCTGCTCCACAGCCTTCCTGGCCTGGGAGATGCTGGTGCTGCTGTTGTTGAACACACCCTCCTTCATTCTTCGGTCCCTGGAAGCAACCAGGAGGAAGCTGACCACTCCTGTCCTGGGGGAGGGTGCCCCCCGTCTCCCTCCTTCCCTGCCACCCTCAACTACTCTGTCCCAGCCAGATTTCCTCTTCTAGAAAGGGCGGAAAGTCCCCGTGCCCTGATGCACATGATACCATATGGCTAAGGTAAGATGTTACAGTGTTAACTGTCCCGAGGAAGACACACTGTCACCCATGCAGGGAGAAACTGCTTGGAGGAGATTAATGATCCAGGTGTGGGGCAAACACAAACCTAAAGGACGGTGGCATCTCAGGGCACAGTGAGAGGCAGGAGGCAAGGGGCAAGGTCATGGAGTGCCCACCACATTCTCTGGGGTTTCTGTGAGTGAGCTAAGACTCTGGCCCACCATGCAATTTCATTTGCTCACAAGCAATTTAAATAACAGAGCAAGAAAAAACACGAGCGGGGCTTTCTTGATGTCTGCTCGGTCAGCCGCTGAAACCAGAATTTGGCTGACGTGGGTTCCTATCTCACTTGGGAACATTTACTCAGCCACAGGAAAAACACAAGTAACGGGGAGTTCGAATTCCAGAGACCTTCTGGCCAGCCCCAGCTGGGCTGTCCTGCCCCCGCAAGCTCAACATACCCACTCCCCTCTGTACCTTACCTGACCTGGGAGAAGGTTCAAGGAGGAGTCGCCACCCTGGAGGGCAAGCCACTTGGGATGGTTAGAAGTGGGAAAGGAAATGGCTTTTGACAACTAGAGCTAGAGACAGAGGTGGTACCCCGTACCTCCGCCACGGAGGCCTTTAGGCTCCACTTGAATGATGTCTCTGTCTTTCCTAGTCCACCAGCAGCTGTACATCTACATGCTCCATCTGAGCATGTATAGCCCTTCCCAGTCCAATAAGTGCATTAGGGACAAAGGGGGCTGTGGTATGAATGTTTCCTGGAAGGCAGTAAGCAAACATGTTTTCCTCAAGATGGGGTACCAATGAGTGGTCAAAGGAACAATTCCAGCTCAGTCCAGCTTGAGAACCAATGAGTTTATGGGGCTTGCTTACTGAACAAGGGTGAGGGGTTACCTACAGGAGCATTGGTGACCCAAAGTAGCCTCACTACAGAAAAATCCCAACATGGGTGATGACTTTTCCAGCACTGCACAGATGGAGCTCCCTTCAGTTACCTTCTACCATCTATCTACTCTAGCATCTGCAGAGGCCACGTGCAGTGGGGTCAGAATTACATTTACATGCCAGGGGGGCAGAGGGGTGGCTGGATCTCAGGCGAGGGTCTGATGACCTCCTCTCCCTTCTCTGAGGGAAGGTCAACAGGCTCCATCTTGAAGGTCATCTTTGAGTAGTCACAGAAGATGGCAGTGCCTGCTATGCTCTGAAGACAGTTCCACAACGTGTTTATGGCAATGCTAGACACCCATGCTGTCACCAGGGAACACTGACCGGATGGATACTTGGCCCTCAGGAACACGAAGCAAAAGGAAAAATGAGCCAACCAACCAGAGCCACCTCCAGCGCCTGGAAGCCAGTCTCTTTGGGCACACAGGGGCACATTTATACTGACAGGTCACACAGGGGCCTTTGGTGGGCTGCATCAGTGACTCCCAACTCAGGAAATTCCCAATTGGGATGGGAGTCAGGATGAGGTAGTTCCATCCCAGGGTTGCTGATCTGACGGACTCAGGACAGGGCTAGGATTTCTGCGGTGGTGGATGTTATCATATCCCCAGGGTTAATAATGTTCCCAGGTCTGCTGTGGGGAAGAGGGAGTCTAGGATGAGAAAGTGATGGTGTGAGGAATCTCTGTCACCACAAGGCCCCTGATTCCTGAGTCTTACCCTCCTACTCTGCAGAGAAACATTCCTGGACAGGATTAGCCCCTCTCTTACCTGCTGAGAGGTGGCACAGGGACAGGTCCACACAGGGGACACAGGCTGGTGGTAGCAGTGGTCAGCTATGAGAAGAGAGGCCGATTCAGGGTCCTGCTGTGGGTGTGGGGGTCTCCTGAAAACACAAGAGAGATGCGTGTTGTGCTCAGGGTCCCCCTGGGCTCCCTCGGCTGTCCTGCCCAAGCTCAGTGGCTTTGCCTATAAAGCCCAGGGACTTTCATATACCACCTCCTGTGTCCCCTGTGTGGACCTGTCCCTGTGCCTTGGGGGAAGACAGTGAGTTAAAGGCAGAATAGAACTTCCAAGATGTCGTAGGACAGACTGAGGAGCAAGCTTGAAGTCAAGGCCTCCATGGGCCTCGACAGGTGGGCTTGCTCTGTGTGCCCAGACTCTCTGCCTTTCCCTCTTATCAATGCCCGCCAAGTGGAGACAGTACATAGGTGCTTTCTTTTTAGAATTATGATAAACACCTATCAATTGTACAAATTAATATGTTCACTGTGGTATTTCTGTATATTAAATATTTTTTCTTAATGTAAAAATATGTCAGCTAGGAAAGCCTGCCTGTCATCTCAATAGTCAGGAGTCTGAGACAGGAAAACTATAAGTTATAGGCGAGCTTCAGATACACAGAGACCAAAAACCAAAAACTGAAAAAGCACACACACACATACCACACGCACGCACAATGCACACACACCACACACACATACACACACACGCGCGTGCGCACACACGCACTCATGGTTGAAAACTATGAAGACAGAGAAAAATCAAAGCAAAGAAAATAAAGACCAATCTCAATATGTTTCCCCAGAGAGGATCATGAGATTCATGTTGGTGTGTGTTGTTACAGGATTAGGAATAACTTTGTCTCAACTAAGGCACATTTAACAGAGAAGACACAACTAGGTCAAGTGACTTTATAGGTCTCCACAGGACAGACAGTCTGCCCACCTTGGGCAATCCCTCCAGGATGGCTGGCTCTAATGGGGGGGTGCTCATTTTCAGGGGCTCTCTGAGTGAGCTGCCTAAGAGTATCCACCGCTAGGGACCCCAGTGAATTTGCAACAGGAATGGGCTGATTGTCCAATTGATCCCTTCTGGTTGGATGCCACTTTGGAGCTGTGTCTGATGTGCTTTCCTTAACCTGTGCTGTAGTCTGAATGTTTTTGTCTCCAAATTCATATGTGTAGCCATAACCTTCCTGGTATTAGGAGGTGGCGTCTTTGGGAAGTGAAGTCCTGAGCATGGAGTCCTCAGGAGTGGGATTAGTGTCCCCCAAAAGGCTCATGTTGGGTGTATGGTGCATGCCTCTAATCCTAGCACTCAGGAAGCAGAGGCAGGTGGATCTCTGTGAGACTGAGGCCAGCCTGGTCTACATAGGGAGTTCCAGGCCAGCTAGGGCCGGCCACAAGGGAGACCCTATCTCAAAAACAACAACAACAACAAAACCCAAAAGGCCCAAGAGACCCTTTGGCTCTTCCACCATGAAGACTCTGTGAGAAGGGTCTACCTATGAACCAGAAAGTGGGCCTTCAACAGGTACCATACTTAATCATAATCTACAAGTCAAACTTGATCACAGATCTATAAGCACAATAAACAAACAAAACTGAGTATACTTAGGCTCTGTACTATCTGTGATGTACAGATCCATGTCCACTGGGGGTCTTGGGTACCAAGGATAAAGGGAGTTTTGCATAGTTTGTTGGACTTGAAAGCCTCCCAGAAAGGTGCTTAGATTTTATGCATCCCTATGCTAGTAGAAAACTCTTTTACTTTGCTACAAATACCCTTGAAAGCTATTTTGCTTTCTGGTTTCAGTTCACATGCTCAATAGCATGACATCTCATTCTGGTTGGCCAGGGCCAACCATGGGAGCCCAGAGCATCCTAACTAAAGGAGACTAGGAGCAGTGCCACAGGTCCTCCACTGTGCTCCTGACACCCCCCCCCACCACTCAAAGGGAGGGCCAGAGCCTGCTTTGTGGTAAGTCTGAGGTGAAGAGGCTTCCCTCAAGACACCAAAGTAGGAAGGAGTCACTGCCCACATGGCCCTCACTGTTCCATTACCACACCTCTCTGGGTACCTCTCTGATGAATTCTGGTTACTCTTTGAGAAACAAAACTTCAGAAAAAAACTAGATGAAACTTTCCTTGTTTATTTGGCATTTGCCCTTCATCTTCCAACCACTGCTTAGAAAGCCTTTCGGACATCAGCCCATTAGTGTCTCCTAGCCCCAGTAAGACTTCAAGACATGGTCCTTGTATCATCACCATTTCTTAAAATGTGCAAGTGGTTGGTAGGGAGGGGATTCAGCCAGCTGACTCCTTTGATCTCTAGCCATGCTGGAGAAAGTGGCTTTTTAAGGGCACTAACTTTTGTTATGATGTTTTCAAAAACAGCTTCGCCCACCCCAAATATGTTCATTTCTAAGCGAGGTGCTGTGGTTCCGTTGTGAGGTCATTAAAGGTCTACCACTTGGACATCAACAGACAAGGAGCTGTGGGAGGTCAGAGGCCCTTTTATTTTCTATATCTCTAATGCCAAGGTAGGGCAGGTGCCCGTTAGTCCCTGGATCAGCAATATCAGCATCCCTTGAGGTCTGCCAGAAATACAGATGCTCAGCTTTCTGGTCCTCCTTGGCATGAACAGGCTCTTCCATACTCTCCCACAGTCATGAACTGAGGTGCTCTGTCATGCTCCCACCATGGGAGCTGAAACCCTCTGAAACTGTGAGACAAATATACATCTTTCCTCACTTAAATGCAGATTCACAAATACCACTCTAAATGACTGAACAGAACCCTGGGAGTAGGAAGCAGTTTAACCATCTTCCAGGTGACTGGGACGCTCATGAGGGCCCGAGGATCCCAGGGATGGGACAGGAGTGGAAGGGTGAAAAGTCATCAGAGCTGAGCTGCCCAGCATCCTGGCTCCTTTTCCTTGGGCTGGCGCGTCAGCCTTTAGATCACCCTTTAGATAGCACTCTGAATTTAGTCATTAGCAGTCCCTCACCAGTCACTGTAGTATTTCAATAGAGGTTGGTGTGTGAACCCTGCTGCCTTGAAAAGATTCTGAAATCTGGTTCAAAAGTTGTAGGAGTAAGAAGCTCTGTTTGAGAGATCAAATGTAACAGGTGCATGATTATAGCAAGGATTCTCTCATGACGGTGGGAATAACTTCTAGGGAACAGACTGCCAGGTTGGGTGCATCATCCTGAGTGGTGAACAGTTACTGCTTCTGGGATTACATGGTGTCTCTTGTGCAGATACGTTTTGAGGTTTGATTCCAGATGAAGGGGCTACAAGCAGCCATGTAAGGAAGGGTCCATCTTCACTGTAAGGTCTTGCAGCCCAGCAGCCCACAGGCCGAGCCGTTCATTCACTGAAGGGCTCCAGATTCCCATGGTTCCGAAGGGATGCACACCCAGTAGAAACTACTTTTGAATTTGAATCTTTCCCCAGCTACTGATATGCAGAGATATAGAAATCTGGGCTCTTGGTGGGACTCAGTGGTAGAGTGCTTGTCTGGTCTGTGCAAGACCCTGGGTGAGGTCCCTAGCACTGAAACAAACAACCAACCAAATAAACAAACAAGCAAACAAAAGCCAGGGGTAGCAACAGTGTGTACAGACACAGTCCCAAGGATGCTTTGGGCCATGATGCTCAGCAATGATGTATGATGGGGAGGGTGTGATAAATGTGTTTTCTACTTAGCCACATTCAGGATGTAGTCCTGTCCTGAGTAGTGGGGCACCTGAATTTAAGGTTCTCTCATCACAGCTTTTAGATAAGTTGAACTTGAGTTGTCACAAGGGTGTCGTCACCCATTGAGTCCACGTCTTAGAGTGGTCAACCACAGACGTCATGTTAGCTGTGGCACCTGTGACTTCAAAAGGCAAGTCACAGCCACTGCAGAAGAAATGATGCAGCTGCCGGGGGGGGGGGCGCACGTCTGTCATGTCAGAGCTGGGGAGACCGAGGGCGGGAGGGTGCTGACTTTGAGGCTGGCCTGGGATGCTTAGTAAGATCTTGCCTCAATAAGTAAGAAAAGAAGAAAAAGGAAGAGAGAGAAAGAGGGAGAAGGAGAAGAGAAAGGGGAGAGGGAAAGGGAGGGAGAGAGGGAGGGAGGGAAGGTACGAAGGAGGAGAAAGGCAGGCAAGCACGCCGGCAGTTTCTTTTCCCCACACGTAAGGGTTTATTTTCTTTTTTTTTTTTTTTTTTTTTTTTTTTTTTTTTTTTTTTAAAAAAAAAAAAACAAATCTACAATCAAAGTAGAAAGAATCAGAAATCAAACAACCTTATACCTATCCAATAGCTTGAACAATTGTTAATCTTTTACAATACTTGCTTCATCTCTACACTGCTTTTAAAAACCTATAGTATTTTGGGGCTGGAGAGATGGCTAGGTGGTTAAGAGCACTGGCTGCTCTTGCAGGGGACCTGGATTCAGTTCCCAGCACCCACATGCCAGTTCCAGGGAATCTAATGCCCTCTTCTGGCCTCCATAGGCACTGCATAACTTGGGTGCACTTACATTCATGCAGGCCAAACACTCTGACACATAAAATAAAAGTAAATTAAAAATATAACACTTTTATTAATTTTTGATAATCTCATAAAGCACACAGTGTATTTGACCATATTCTCCAGCCACTCCCACCAACTCCTCCCAGATCCATCCTGCCTCTGACTCCCTCCCAACTTTCTATCGTTTTTTTTTTATAGCCCGAGTCTAATTTGTACTGCCCATTTACTCATGTGTGTGGGGCCATCCACTGGAGCATGGTGGACCTACCAGCAGCCATTAGCTGTCAGGAGCAGTTTTTTTTTCTTTCTCATAGAGATCTAAAGTGGTATTTTAGCATCACATGACAACTTTGCTCTTTCTCAGTCATCCTGGGATAGAACTGAATGTCTGAATGAAAGTCTTATTCCTGAAGAGTGCTTCAGGGAAACAGATATCACCATGCCCAGACAGCCAGGGCTCTGGGTTGAGTGGGCACATTGTCCCCTTATGCTCCTCACAGGGACACAACTTTTCTACCCCAGCTTGAACCACTATGCAAATTAAATACCGTCAGAGCGAACCTTAATGCATTTTATGAAT